TGCCAGAGGCCCGGAATTCTCTGCTTTACACAGCTTTTACTTGGTGAAGTGGGGAGGGCGGGGTACTGCAGAGGGAGGGAGGAGAGGCGGCCTGGGTACTCATAACCGCTGGGACCCCCACTTTGTAAGCTGACTTTGCTAGGAATCTGACTTTAAGATGATCAACCTTTGGGGCTGGAGATAAAGAGCAACGTGGGTACAACCCCTGGCACCACCTATGGTCCCCTGATGTGTCCGTTCCCCCCTCCCCTGACCCCAGGAGTGATCCCTGAGCACAGAGCCAAGAGTGAGTCCTAAGCACAGATGTGCCCCAAAAACAAAAACAGAAAAACCAAAGACGATGAACAGCTGTTTTCTTGTAGAAATCTAGATCCTCCCTCCCTTCAAAAACTCAAAACTTTTTTTTTTGGGGGGGTCACACCTGGCAATGCACAGGGGTTACTCCTCGCTCTGCACTCAGGAATTACCCCTGGTGGTGCTCAGGGGTAATTATGGGATGCTGGGAATCGAACCCGGTTTGGCCGCATGCAAGGCAAACGCCCTACCCGCTGTGCTACTGCTCCAGCCCCCAAAACTCAAAACTCTTAACTGCGACAGGTCTGTGCTTGCCACGGGGCAGCCCTGCCCACCAGGCTGGACATCTGGGTGGGTGGGTGGGGGATGCGTTCATACACTTGACCCAGTTCCCACCCCTCCACTTCTCCGGTCTCTGATCAGCTTCCCTCACACCCCTGGAGGTCTGCCACCTGGGAAGAGGACACAGGTACCCAGAGCCTAACTCTCCGATTTGAAGGGGAAAGTGGCCTCGGGCGAGCCTGCAAGTGGAGTTGCTTGGAGAACAGGCCTGGCTCCTCCTCCGAGGCTTCCCAGAAGCCAGAGGCCTGATTCTTGGGCTCAGGGCAGGAGATAAGAGCTCGAGTCGAGGACCGGGACGCTAGAAGCAAGAACTGGCTCTGGCGGCAGGAAGCACTGCGTTCTTGGCATTTCTGAGACTGTCAGAAGGCGAATCAGGCCTGTATCCGAGAAAGTGAAAGCGACTGCTCTTAGGGCAGAGGTGGGGGTTATCCAAGAGGAGCACCCCCACAGGAATCTGATCTCTGTTCTGAGCTTCCTCCTTCCTCTGGTTCCACCCTTTATCTTGGAACTGGGAGTTTTCTCTCGCTTGGCAGGGATCCTGTCCATATTCGCTTGGGGCTCAGGATTGAGTCTCTCTGCACCCAATTGAGGCTTGTTTGAGAGAGAAGCTAGACTACAAGCACATACCTGTGCTGACAATCGGCAGAAATGACAATCCCCACAGATTGCCTGCTGAGTGTTTCCCATGTATGTTTCCTTATCTGACTTTGTTATTGGTTTTGGGGGCACACCCAGCAGTGCTCAAGACTTCCTCCTGGCTCTATGCTCAGGGGTCACTCCTGGGAGGGCTATTGGGACCATGTGGGGCCTGGGGGATGGAATCTGGGTTGGCCACACAAGGGACGCACCCTGCTCCATGAATCTGACCCCACCCAAGTCTGACTTTATTTTTGTTTGCTCTTTGAGAGTCACACCTGGTGGTACTCTGGTACTCGGGGCTTACTCCCCGCTCTGTGCTCAGAGATTACTCCTGCCAGGGCCCAGGGAACCCTGGATCAAACTGGAGTCAGCTGCATGCAACGCAAGCACCTTAACCCTTTTTTTTTTAAATCTTCCTCTCCTCCACTGGGATTTAGAAAAACATCTGTCTCTCCTTTTTTTTTTTTTCTTTTTGGGTCACACTGGTGATGCATAGGGATTACTCCTGGCTCTGCATTCAGGAATTACTCCTGCCGGTGCTCAGGGGACCATATGGGATGCTGGGAATTGAACCCGGGTCGGCCGTGTGCAAGGCAAAAGCCCTACCTGCTGTGCTATTGCTCCAGCCCCTGTCTCTCTGTCTCCCTCCTGCCACTGTAGTTCACGTAGCACACTAGGTGTGGCCCAGAGAACCGTGGAGCTGGGTCCCTTCCCCTTTGTGCCTGGGAACTGCAGGACAAGGTCTGTCATTTTCTTGCACATTTTTTTTCTTGCTGGGGGAGCGGTGGCCACAGCTGGAATGCTCTGGGGCTGTTCCAGGCATCTGGGCACACACACAACTCATGCTCCCTTAGTACCTTTGTCTCTGCACCGTCCTGTGAATTTTTTTTTCCTTTTTGGTTCACACCCAGCGCTGCTCAGGGGTCACTCCTGGCACTGCACTCGGGAACCACAGCTGTTGGTGCTCGGGGACCATATGGGATGCCGGAGATCAAACCCGAATCGGCCGCAAGGCAAACGCCCTACCCGCTCCGGCCCCCTCCCAGTGAATTTTTCAACTGGGGACTGCGTGATCTCACTTTGATGTGCTCTGCCATATAATTTAATAACTTAAATTTTCAAAGCAATGAAAACATAAATTCAGGAGGTCTCAAACTTTTCATTGGAATTTTCTGTTTTGGATTTTGGACACACCCGATAGTGCTCAGGGCTTACTCCTGGCTCCGCACTCCTGGCAGGGTTCAGGGGACCATATGGGGTGCTGGTGATTGAACCCAGGTCAGCCCTAGCTGCAAAGCAAGCTTCCTGCCCGCCGTACTATCTCTCCAACCCCTATTTTCATTTTCAGCATCACAAAAATGAGCTAATTAAAAATAAAGATGCTGAGGGCCAGAGAGAGAGAGAGAGAGAGTACAGGGAGAGAGAGATCACTTGCCTTTCATGGGGTTGATTTCTAGTTTGATCCCCGGCATCCCATGTGGTCCTACAAGCACTGCTTGGAGTGATCCCTGAGTGCAGAGCTGCTGAGCAACACCAGGCATGGCCCCAAAACATTTAGATCAGATTTAAAAGAATCTAATCATTTGAACCGATTCTGACACCACAAATTCAATTTTGCTTTGGGGTCATACCTGATGTTGTTCAAGGAATATTTCCAACTCTGTACTTGGGGGAAATATGTGGAATGGAACCACAGGCATTTGCTTGCAAAACCTGCCTCCAGCCCTTTGACCCATCTCCCCTGTCCCCATATCCCCATGTCCTGCCCCCCCCCCCCCCGTCCCTTTTTATTTTTGGCCTTCTTGGTTTGGGGGGATACATTCAGCAGTGCTCAGAGTTTCCTCCTGGTTCTGTGAGTTTACTCCTGGCAGGGTTCAGGGCACCACATGCAGTGCCAACGACTGAATCCAGGTCGACGCCATACAAAGCAAGCACCCTACCTGCTGTACACTCTCTTCAGCCCCTGCCCTGCCTCTCTTCATCAAAACACAGTCCACTAGAGATGGTTATGTATTCGTGGGCACAGAGCTCTGTTCTTGTTCTTGAAATAAGTGAGAGGTGTCGACTAGATGGTATTAGATCTGGTAGGGAAGGAAGCAAAACAAGGGAAACAAGACCAAAGCAAACTCCATGGGAGGAAAGGGTGGGTGATTGGTAGAAGGAGTCCAGCTCCGTGATGGATGGAAGCTTGAAATCTGGTGGGAGCACGTGTGGTATGCAGGGGTATTGGTTAGATACGCAGCAGTGCAAGTGAAATGTACTCTTACTGCTTGAGCTTTAAAGAAGAGTTGCCGGCCATTGGTCGCAGTGCATGATAAACTCTTATTTATCTCATTCATCCCCAGCCAGTTTTTCTACAATTTCTCTCTCAGCACAAACAACAGCTGCAGCAAATATCCTGGAACGTTTGTTTTATTTTTTTATGAGGTACACAGTTACAAAGAGTTACAAAGTTGTTCACGATAGGGTTTCAGTCATGCAATATTCCAATATCTGTACATTTCCCAACACCAGTGTCCCCAATTTCTGTTTCGATGGCAGACTCTCTCTCTCTCTCTCTCTCTCTCTCTCTCTCTCTCTCTCTCTCTCTCTCTCCCTCCCTCTCTCCCTCTCTCCCTTTCTCTCTCCCTGGAATATTTATGACTATAAGATCTCAATTTATGTGTACAAGAAATTCACTCCTAATCTAGGTGTACTTTGAACCCACATGAAAGATGATTCCAGATTATTCATGGAATATTCCCTTTAACTTTACTTCCTGTGATGTTTTTAAGTACCATTTTATTCCTTTCTATTTCATTAAAGTATAATTCTGGACACTCTCACTAGAAGTCACAACCAGCATTTTCAGATTTTGGGAGTGTGTGTGTGTGTGTGTATGTGTGTGTGTGTGTGTGTGTGTGTGAGAGAGAGAGAGAGAGAGAGAGAGAGAGAGAGAGAGAGAGAGAGAGTGTGTTACATAAAATCGCATTAAAAAAAAAAAACCCTAATATCTGAATTTGTTCGCTTGACTTCTCCACTCCAGAGATGAGACAACTTTGGATACTAGGCAGCTTTTTTTGTTTTGTTTTGATGAGACAACTTTGGATACTAGGCAGCTGTTTTTGTTTTTGTTTTTGTTTTTTTCAGCCCACACCGGTTGTGCACTTTTTATGTCTGGCTCTGAGCCCAGGGACCACATGTGGTGCTGGGAATTGAACCTGGGTAGGACCCTGCAAGGCTCTTTAACCCCTGTACTGTGTCTCCAGCCCCCTAAACAGTTTTTTTTTTTTTGAGTCTAATTTTTTTTTCCCCCTCAACCTCTCTCTGCCGAATCAGATCCTCCTGTCTCAATCCTGGAGCCTTGGGGGGGAAAACCTGGTGTTATAATTTACAGCCTCCAGGTCAGCTGGGATGAGGGCATGGGGGGTGAGGACAAGCGGAAGATCCACGGCCACCCGGGGCCGGCCCAATGTCACCCGGGTCGTTGGAAAGCCTCCTGGAAAACTTCCAGAAAGTTCTCTGACTTTCTGTACCCGTGATCCCAGCCAACCAACTTCAGTTCCTCCAGCGTTCGCGGAAGTGTCGTGGCCCCTTTAGAGCCCCCCGCCCCGTGGGTTCCCGTGGGCCTGCGCCGGACTCTCCCGCGCCCACGCCCGAGCTCGGGGTCACCCCCCTCCCCCGCCCTCGTGTCCCTCCCTCCCTCCCCGGGACTGGACGCTGCAGCGGGCACGGCCAGGACGCAGCGGAGAGGCGGCCAGGTGGCGCCCGCCCTGCCCTCCCGTGCCCGCCCCCCGGTCCCCGTCCCCGTCCCCGGCAGCGCTGCGCCCGCCCGCGCGCGCCCTGCACAGAGCCATGGCCGCGCTGGGCTGGTCCAGGCTGCGCCCGCTGCTGCTGGGCACGCGGGGGGCCGGCGCCGGCCTCGGCCCGGCAGGGGCCAGGGCCAAGGCCGCGATGCCCGCTGCCCTCTCGCAGGCCGAGGCGGCCGAGCCGCCCCCGGGAGACTCCGGCACCCCCAAACTGCGGAGCCTGCGGGAGCTGCCCGGCCCGGGACCGCTGCGCTTCCTCTATCAGCTCTTCGTGCGCGGCTACGTGCTGAACCTGCCCAAACTCCAGGTGAGCCGGGCACTGGGGGGGCAAGCGGGTGTGTGTGTGTGGGGGGGGGGGGGGTCCGAGGGGGCAAAGTCACGGACACGGGACTGGAACTCTGGAACTCGGGAGAAAGAGAGAGAGGCGCGCGCGGGAGTCCTGACGCGGAGCCCTTTGGAAGGGAAATCCAGCAGAGTCTTGAAGCGGCGGGAGGGAGCTGGGACTCTCCGGGGATGCTCAGGCATCCCGTAACCAGCGGCCACAGCCTCAGACTTCACTCTAAGGAAGATGAAGGAGCCCCTTTCATTTCCAGGTGAATTTCCCCGCGGGAAGTGGGGGGTTCGGGAGGGGGAGGGGGAGATGTTCTGTCTCTGGAGTTGAAAGCCAGATCAGGGACTTTTCGGAAAGGCCACGTGTTTGTTAGGAATAAATCAGTGTCCCTGAGTTGAGGGAGACAGCTAAACTGTCAGGGGCGCATGGGGACCCAGGACCTCATCCCAACATTCCCCCCCTTCTCAGGATACAGTGTGGGAGACCCCCCAAGCATCTCTGCCAGGGGCCAGGAGGCCCTGCTGCGTGACTGGTGGTTGCCAGTTTTGGTTTGTTTTTGTTTTCTTTTCCTTTGGGGCCACACCCTGTGATGTTCAGGCAAAAGTCCTACCTGCTGTACAATTGTTCCAGCTCTTGCCTGAGTATTTTTTTTTTTTTTGAGATATGCGGGGAGGATGATGCCAAAGATAAAACTCAGTGACTCACACTTGGAGAGGCAGTGATCCACTGTGGAGTTTTCCCTGGGCACTGAATTGTTCAACTCAGCTGGTTGAGTAACTGCAGGAATAGTCCCAGCCCAGCACTGCCCCGGAGGTCCAAGGGGGGAAAAAAGCAAAGACAGGAAGAAAAAGGGGCTGGAGAGATAGTAAGGCACTTGCCTTGCATGGGCTGACCCGGCTTTGATCCATGGCACCCCGTATGGTCCCCTGAGTTCCATCAGGAATGATCCCTGACCACAGAACATTGCCAGGTATGGTCTCCCCCACAACCCTTGCAGAAAAAAAAAAGAGAGAAAAAGAAAGCTCTTTGAAAAGGGCTTATCCGGTGAGATAACAGCCTTGGAACTTCAGCTTTTGGGGAAAAACTGGAGGGCAAGAGAGAAAACAAACAGAAGTGTGGCAGCCAATCTCAGAAAATGCTACTTGGAATCCTGGGAGCAGAGATAGGGAGGGGGGAGACCTTTGACCCTGGGTGAGGGACAGGGCATGGAGAAGGTTCTGGAAGGCCAGAGGAAGCACTTGGTTCCTGTGAGAGCTCAGGGGTGGGGGAGGGGTGTATTTTTTGTTGCTGTTGTTTTGGGTTTGGGTTTGGAGACCACCCCTGGCCCTGTGCTCAGGGGTCACTCCTGGAGTGGTGCTGGGGATCCAACCCCAGTGGCAACATGCAAGGCTAGTTCCCTTATCTGCTGGACTACTTTTCCAGCCCCACTTGGGGGCGCTTCTGAGCCGGCTTGATTGAGAAGCCAATTCCAAGGGGCACTGCTCAGGGTATCTTGCCTTTGAATGCAAGCTCGGGGCCAGGAACTGGACTCCGGGAATAAAGACTCCAATGCATCAGTCTCTCAGTTCCCTGCAGAGACAGCCCAGCTGGGACAGAGAACACACTCGAGAGCATTGGGGGCCTGACTGCTTTGCTTTTTTGGGGGGGGGGTGGTTTTGGTTTGGGGTCATTAATGCTCATGGGTCACTGCTGAAGGCACTCAGGGGACCTTGTGCCAGTGCTGGGAATCAAACCTGGGTTGGCCCGATGTCAAGCAAGAAACTTAATCCCCATATTATTTTTTTTGGGGGGGAGAGGGGAATTTAGTAGTTTCTTATAACTTTTAATTGGCCATTTAAAAACATCAGTCTTTAAACCAGGTAGAAATAAGTCTGCAAAAGGTCGGCAAAACCTACTTTAAGCATGTTTAAAATAGATTGATTATCTGGAATTGCAGATTTTCAGTTCAGGCAAAAGTCCTACCTGCTGTACAATTGTTCAGCATTATTAGGCCGTGGCAGCCAGGAAATCTTTAACTCCTGTTCAAGTCAGTCTCCTAAACCCAGTTTCATTGCAGTTTCCAACCGCAGACCTTTGATTGTTCTTATTTTTATTTATTTTTATTTATTTATTGCTTCTTTTTTGCTTACACCTGGTGATGCTCAGGGGTTCCTCCTGGCTCTGCACTCAGGATTACTTCTGGTGGTGCTTGGGGGACTATATGGGACGCCCATGCACGCAAGGCAAACACCCTCCCCACTGTACTATCGCTCCAGCCCCAACTGCAGACCTTTGAAAGGGGCGCTCAAACTTTAGGATTTAGGGGCGTCCCCCTAGCTCCAGTCCTTAAATTGTGTTTGATTGAGGTCACACCCAGCAGTGGTGGGGGGGCATGGGGGCTTGAGGGGTGAGCTCAGTGCATGGAGATTACTCCTGGAAATGCTGGGGTCCCCCAAAGCCCGTGTCTGGCGTCCCCCAAAGCCTGTGTCCCAGACCTTTGAACTATCTCCCTGGTCCTTGCCTGGCAAATACATGAGGTGACATGAACCTGCTTGGCCTGTGAAAATATCTTTGCTCTCTCCTGCTCTTCGCTACAGTTTGTAGGATGCTATGCAGCTGTGAAGCCTCCACAAGCCCTTCCACATCCTCCCTACCCCGGAAGCACATGGTCCACTGTATAAAATCTTTGAGGGCGGCCAGGGGGTCCCCTGACAGCTCTTCCCCTAGACGCCCGCGTTTGGGATGGGCCCATTCCCGCAGCCAGGGCGGCCCGGGCCATGGGGCAGACGGTGGATGAAATCAAGCTGGTTGATTGATCAGATGCCATTTATTCCATTCTCCCCACGCGCCTGCCCTTGTATCCCTGAGCCTCCCATTCTAGTCTCACACTGCCCCTCATTCCCGTCTCCTCCTGTCTCTCCCGCTCATCTCTCTGCTCCATCTCGAAGCCTGGGCTTTCTCTCTCCTTGCGCCTGCTCCTGTATTCTTCTACATTCTTCTCTCTCTGCCCCCTTTGCTAGTATCTCTGTGGTCCATCTTGCTGTCCTCCTCTCTCTGGGCTGACACAGCACCCAGCCAGGTAGCAAAATCAACTTAAGAAAGCCCTTCCTGATTTTCAGGGAGAAACGTTGGATGATTTACTTTCCATTGATCACTTTGTATATATAAAGAGATGGAAAAAATGTCCTGGTTCCCACATGCCCGAGCTATGCTTGTAGACTCATGGTCACCGGGGTTCCATCTGGAGAAGGCGGGATGCAGCACCTACCCCATCTGGGACCTTAACTCTTTTGCAAACCACAATACTCAAAAGGAGAGAGAGAACAGAGGGGAATGCCCTGCCATAGAGGCAAGGTGGGATGGGGAGTATGGGGGGAGGGAGGGATACTGGGATCCATGGTGATGGGAAATGGGCCTTGGTGGAGGGATGGGTATTCGAAATTAAAAAAAATAATAATTTAATTAAAAAAATGAAAATTAAAAAAAAAAAAAAGAAAGCCCTTCCTGAATGCCCTGCCACAGAGGCAGGGTGGAATGGGGGGATGGGTGGGTGGGAGGGATACTGGGATCTGTGGTGGTGGAAAATGGGCACTGGTGGAGGGGTGGGTATTTGATCATTGTATAACTGAAACCCAAGCACAAAAATTTGTAAGTCTACAACTGTACCTCATGGTGTCTCACTAATAAAAATTAAAAAAAAAAAAAAAAGAAAGAAAGCCCTTTCTGAGGGCCCACCAGATTCAAAGGGAACACCACTTAAGAGGTGTTCCAAAGCCCTTCCTTACTGCCCAAGGGCAAAATACCCCTTAAGGTATTTTTCTCTTTTCCGTAGTCTAATGACTTATCAGTACAGTAAGAGGTAACATTGAGGCTTGTAGAGAAGCTCTCCTGGGAACATCTTGCCACAGACTCAGACTACAGCTCTCAGGCCAGATTAATCATTCCTAACCCTAGCAGGGTCCAAATCTGGTTATTACTTTTTGGATCATGACAGTATTTGTCCATGACCAAGCTCTTAACTTACAGTTAAGCATTATGGCACTTTGGTCAGGCCCATCTCGATGCCAGGGTAGCACATAGTTTACCGCTTGCCCTGGTTCCATCCAGTCCGTTGTCAGGACCAGTCCGTTGTCGGGACCCTGCTTTTGTGGGGGTGCTAGGAAGTAAGGGCAGCTGAGGCTTAGGTGAGAGAACAGATGCCCAGGAGGAAAATATCACTGAGAGTTACATTACAAAACATAGCACATGCTGTCTTCTTGTGTCCATACAGAAAGGACATTGCTCTGAATAAACTATGCAAAGGATTTAGGGAGAAGAGAAAAACAATTTTTACAAGTCAACAGAGCACAAAGAAAGAAGTTACAAATAAATACAGAGGAATGGGAGCACTGTGATGGGAGCAACCCAACATACCTAACCTACCTGGGGCTATGCAGGAAGGACAAAACAGTGTTATCCTACAATCCACTTTCTTTCTGGCTAGGTTACTCTGACTCCCCTCATGCTTAAAACTGTTGCACTGTACAAAGGGTCAGAGGTGACACGATGGATGAAATAATCTGCAGGAATGAATTTCTCTGTGTATGTGTGTGTGTGTGTGTGTGTGTATGTGTGTGTGTGTGTGTGTGTGTGTTTGAAAGGGAGTGCCTGTGGGGGAGGTAGATGGGTACACTGGTAATGGTGTGGTGTTGAATTATGTGCATGGGGAAGCATCACGGTCATGGTCATGGTCCTCCTGTTGTTCATCGATTTGCTCGAGTGGGCCCAGTAACGTCTCCATCGTGAGACTTGTTGTTACTGTGTTTGGCATATCGAATACGTCACGGGCAGCTTGCCAGGCTCTGCCATGTGGGCGAGATACTCTCGGTAGCTTGCCGGGCTCTCCGAGAGGGGCGGAGGAATCGAACTCGGGTCGGCCATGTTGGCTGCGTGCAAGGCAAACGCCCTACCGCTGTGCTATCACTCCAGCCCTGCATCATCAACAGTAATAGAAATCA